TACTATTAGTATGGCTCATAATGTTGCTGGATTAACTGTTAGCCTCAATGAGGCTGAAAGATTAGAGAAAGAAACCGCGGAAAGACTATTGAAATCGCGAAAGTTATCTTTAATAGTCGATTTAGATCAAACTCTAATTCACGCAACCGTAGATCCAACGGTAGATGAATGGATTAATGATGAAAATAATATTAATAATCCTACGATTAAGGACATTCATAAATTTGTTCTATCTGATAGTCCAACGGTTTATTACATTAAACTAAGGTATTACCTTTTTATTATTATTATTATTATTATTATTATTGTTGTTTTAATTTGCATTCTTCATTTTTTCATGTGATACTAAATTTTTATTTGGTAATTTTTTCATTTACACTTCTAGACCAGGTCTTAAAGAATTTTTAAAAAGTGTATCTGATTTTTATGAACCTCACATATATACCATGGGAACGCGTAATTATGCATCCTCCGTCGCAAATATAATTGATCCAGACCAAAAAATATTCAACGAACGAATATTATCCCGTGATGAAAGTAGAAGTAAGCAGTGCTATAAATCAAGCATTCATATTATTTATAATTTTATTTTACAAAAATCCTTTGTAATATATTAGATATAAATCAGAAAAATATACGACGTTTATTTCCCTGCGATGACTCCATGGTCGTTGCAATTGATGATCGAGCTGACGTTTGGGGTTGGTCGCCTAATCTTATAAAAGTTCACCCTTGTAAATTTTTTATTTATTTTTGAACAATTGTGATTATTTAGTCACATTCTAAGGCAATTTTGACTAATAGTAGCTAAAAATAAATTACATAGATGATTTTTTTGTAGGAATTGGTGATATAAATGATACCCGCTTTTTAAAACAGGTAATTAATTTGCTTATTTACAAAACTTGGTTAATTTGTGTTATTATAATATATATTTTTCTTATGTGATATTAATTTATTATTTTATTACTATTTCATTGTCATTTTAATGGTATTTTCATTGCTATTTTCATTACTATTTTTCATTGCTGTTTTCATTGATATTTTCACTGTTCATTATAATGATTTAGCAGAAACCAACTAATGTTCCAACTAGTGTTCCAACTGATGTTCCAACTGATGTTCCAACTAGTGTTCCAACTGATGCCCCAACTGATGCCCCAACTGATGTCCCAACTGATGTCCCAACTGATGTCCCAACTGATGTCTCAACTGATGTCTCAACTGATGTCCCAACTGATGTCCCAACTGATGTCATTTCAAAAGAACCAATAACACCCTCCTCGTTGGAGAGTGATACTGTTGTTCAAACA